ATGTTACTTAAACTCTACCATGAGTTTAAGTACCTTGATAAGTAAGAATGCTGTTGCCTTCTAATTTTGCTCATTCTATGTGGAGGTTTCACATTGTTCTGATGATTTTAGTAAACTGAAAAAGAAAGTGATAAAGTTATTACCAATATAAAAGCATTTCTGAGATTTATGATGATAAAAACACTTTGCTAAGATTTTAACTGGTAACAAGCATGCCCTGATTAACAGAATTAATTTTCTGCATGATTAAAACACAACATGTCCTTTGTTATAGGACTATCGAATGTTCAGCTCTCAGTAAACACATTTTATGATATAGGATTATTTTTTTAATCTGATTCAGTCCAGAAGAGAGCGTGCAAGATGAAGGATGAACGAGGCAGGGGAGCCAACATCGGGAACGGTAATACACTAAGAATGAAGTCAACTGCAGCAAGGTCCTTGTTTTAGTTATGCAGAGGGAGAGAGAAAAAAGAGGAAAAGAAAAAAAACCAACTACCAAAACAAACAAAAACCCCACAATAAAAGCAACAGAAGAGTTACCATCCTGCTTCAAGAACAAAACCAAATGACTAAACTTAGAGTAGAAATAGTACTTCCAAGAAGCTGCTTGAAGTCCAAGAAGCCTAACACTGCCAAGTGGTGGACTCAATCTTAAAGATCTTTTCCAACCTAAATGCTTCTATGATTCAGCTATACAATGCTGATTAAAATGCCAGGGTGACTTCTTGGAAGTATTGTTTCTACCCTGTGTTTTCAATAACAGAAGACCTGTCGGCTGCCTGTGAGGATAGAGTGGTAAATGATCAGGTTTGTCTGTAAAGAGTCTTTGATGACTCTTGCCTGCCAAAGAGTAAGCTACATCTCCATGGGAGATGTTTTAAGTCGTGTACTCCTCAACATACTTTTATTCAGTAGCTGCATCTGTGACAGAGCCGGCGTCTGTTTCGTGTTCTGTAATAAAGCCTTCTCCACAACTTTATAATGTGGAGAAATAGACAGAATATTGTAATAGAAAACAGCAACAACACAAAGATTGAATGCACAGATATGACCACGTAAATGCTACAGTGATAAACTTAATTCTGGTAAGTAGTTACTCCCAATTTTACCTCTCAAGAAATTCACCAATTCCAAAGATATAAAGTGTCAAGCTGGGATGTACATCCTTTTAGAATGGTGCAGCTGAATGTGAACTTCTATAAAATATACATGTAGGTGAGCCTATACACTGCAAAATGCCATCTGACCACCTCATTGTTTGGCAGAAGCTGGACTTTGTGCTTTAATTTAAGAGACAATGTTTTATCCAGCTTAAGGTTCAACTGATGGCAGAGGAACTGAACTATGTCTGCATTTCATAAGAAATTCTATACTAATTACAGTCTAGTGTGGCAGTGGTATAGCTTTTCTACAGCACGATAGAGAAAGGGTAATGCAAGGTAGGATACTTTCATAACTCAAATTCAACTGAATGTATTATAATTTGTATATTTAAAACACAGAATAGTTTGCTTACAGTAGCAAATAACAAAGTACTTCATAACAAAAGACTTGTGCTCCCTAGGAAATAGTGTCTGAAAATACTTCCCTTTTAACACCAATTTAGTGATATTTATTCTAGTACATTCCAATATCAAAAATTGTGCAGCAGAAGAACACTAGCACTGAGTTCTTATCTCCAGTTTACATTGGTGTAAATTTTGAGTCTCTCGTTTGACACTCTGTATGCAATATAACCTTTCAATCTCCTTCTTCCCACAGTAACAACCATTATCCTTTGTCTTTCTCCACTTCAGAATAAGGTCATTCTAACATGTAGGTCTAACAAGAAATACAATGTATTTTCATTGATTTGTATTGTCACTGATTACCCCTTTGTGTTATATAGTGATCGTATAGTAAAGGACATTCTATGTTGTCATGCAAAGCCAGTCTTAAGGAACAGATTCTGCACCTCAGGCTCCCTCAGTTTATTTATAAGGTCTTGCTTTTTAGAAAATGAGCTTTCTGACAGTAGCCTTGAAAATATTTACCATTGTTAATCGATCAGTAGAACTGAATATTTGGCACTAGTATAGAATTTTTTCTCTGTTTTTCCCCAGAGACTACTGTTTTTTCATAGTCTTGTTCAGAGATTGGATACTCCAGGCTCAGGAAAATGAGAGCATTTTGTCATTTGATTATTGGAAATATCTCAGTTTAATTTACAACAGAATATAGTAAACTCATTCTGTCCTGGTAGGACAGTGACTTAAAGTACAAGTGTGTAACCAGACCGTCACCAGCATCTTTATTGTGTTTTTACTGCAAAAACAGTCTCTTAGAAGAGGACCATGAAGTGGAAAACAACTGCAAAGCATCAGTTATTGACATTTTTTTTCCATGTTCAATTTTTCACTGATTCTGACTTACTGCATCCTTTGAAAAAGAGAAGAAACTGAATTCCACTTCTAAGATGGAGCACTAAGAGTAAATGAATGATTGCCTCCCACTCAATTTCTGTGATATATATTTGGGATGATTAATATCTCAGTAGACTTTTGCAGGATTTGCTAGATATCCATGTCCATAGAGGAGTGTTTTTGATAGAGATCAAGTTCTTATAGTTGTGTTAAGTAACAAAAAAGCATATGTAGGGCAATCTGGAATGCACACTTAAAATAAGCTAGAAGGTAAAACAAGTAGCTTTTTTATATTTGATTAGCAATTAATAAAGTTGCTATTTTATTCTGCTATAATACTGCAAAACTAGTCCTTCATTATCACTGAAGATTTTAATTTGAAAGTCAACTGCAGTAGATTTATTGCCTATTTGTGGTGTGTACTATTTTCTAGATTGTGCCTTGTGCCTGTTAGTTCAGCTTTTGCAGAATGTAGGTTTTTGAGACTTAAACCGATCAATACCTACTCGAGGTCTTCAAAGCCTCTTTGGATTTGCAGTTGATATCAGTAGAACAGGGACAAAAAAAAAAAGCCTAAGTACAACAGTGAGATAGATGAATTCATACAGAAAAAAAGTCAGAGATCTATCTGAAACTCTGTGCTGCCTGAGTTTGAGTTACTGTAAGTATTCACAATAGTTGAAGACAGAAATTGAGTTTAAAAACCAAAAATAGTTAATTTATTGAGAGATCATATTTCTGAGGTACAAGAACTGGGACACAATTGCTTGTATTCAGGACTCATAGGAAGATGATCATGTTTGTTTATTTGCTGCTTTTGTTCATTTCTGAGTTAAATAAACAGCAGTTTTTAATTATCGTTTCTGAAAGAGCATGTTTTTATAGCTCTCTCAAAACTTAGCGTTTTACTCTTAACTGGACAGTCCCAACTAGTTAGGCTTGTATTCAGGTAATGTTTCTTCATTGGTAACCCTCTGTGATTTAATTTTCCACTGTTTTAGGGTAGGTATGAAAGCCTTGTATTTCATTTAGGTACACAAAAAGACCTGCATGATTTACTTGGAATTTTTGTCTTCTATGTCCTTGGAAAATTGCTGGTACTTTTTGGTGTTTTTTTTTTTAATTTCCCCAAAACATGTTGAAGTTTACTGCCAAACATAACAAATCTCACTGTAAGAATTAACTGAGAGAGAAAGGTGTATATGTTTGAAAGAGAAACTTTAAAAGGAAATGGAATTTCTAAATCAGCTCCATTATTGCTCAGCAAAAATTGCATCAAGGCAAGGCATAAGCAAATATGTGTAACTGTTATTATCACAAGCTTATAAAGGCATTCCAGCCTTCTTCCTTCGGACTTTCCCTAACGACATTCTTCAGTGTCCATTTCCCTTCACTTGCCTGCATTTTTCCTAGACTGCATATTTCCCTTCTCCTCTCAAGTCCTTTCACTACTTTCTCTTTACAGCTGCTGTTGTTCCATAGACTGGTAACTCTGTCATGCTGTCAGCAGCCAAGCAAACGCTTCACTTCCCTGCCTTCTGCGGCAGAAAATGCAAAAGAGTCCTTATACAAAGTCTCCTCCATGTTTGTTGCATTTACTTGCCATATCATCAAATAGTTAAGCAGGCATTCTCCTCCTAATGGAAGTAAGAGTAGTTACATAGATGTAGCAGGTTTTGAAGCTATTGAATTTTAAAGCTGTTGATAGCTTCAAAATAGTTTGAAGCTATTGATATTTGAAGTTATCAGAATTTGTAATGCGTTTTTCTTTCGGTGAAGCATATTAAAAGAAAACAGTAACATATTGGTCCCAATGTGCTTTTGAACTTACTCTACCCTCTCTTCTTTGTCCTGTTCCTAGAGGCAAGTGTTGCAAACAGCAGATTTCATCCTTTCATCATCTGGTTCTCTGAGCCCCAGAATCAAACTGATCACCCCAGCTGCAGTACATAAAATGTCTATTCTATATGTTATGATGCCAAATATTATTCAAATTCTTCTGGCCAGGCACAGAGTCTGATGGAAAACAGCACATCTCACTTATTGCCTTTTTCCTTGCAATCAAAATTGCTGAGTAATCAGTGGACGCCAGATATGGGAAAGCAGAATGTGAATAATGCCAATTTGCTTGGTTTTGTTTACACTTACTATTTAAAATAAAAATAACTGTAGCAATATGGCTTTCATTAATTATGAAGCACAGGCAATGTGTTAACAATATCAGTTTTGAAGCCTGTAAGAAACGCAATTTTATATGTCTATGTGTTCTGTCATAGTGCATGATTTCTAATATCTTTTTCATTCAGGTCATTTTTATGCAGCATTTGATTGGATATACATCTCATGGATATACATGTCACGTTCTCTGGTAGAAACCTGAATAGTTCAGTTCTAGAATTTGGGAATACGCTGTACTTTGATCTGACTTAAAGATTCAGGCTTTTTGACTGTCATGCAAGGAGAAAAATGATGGTGTGAATCATTTGGTTAAAATTGTTGCAGTCCAAAAGCGTTCGTTTTAAATGCATTCTTTCTGACTTTTTTTAAAAAAAAAGTTCTGTTGTGTTTTTTTTTCTCTTTGTTTTCTTTCTCTAGGCTGAGGTTCAGCTATGCTATCTGGAAGCACAAAGAGATGCTGTTGAACAGATGTCCTTAAAGCTGTACAGTGAGCAGTACAACAGTAGTAGCAAGCGAAAGGAAGAGTTTGCTGATATGTCAAAAGTTCACACAGTGGGAAGTAATGGGTAGGGAACTATTCTTTTTGTTGTTTTATTCTCACTGATCTGTTGTGTTTTTTTACATGATATACTTTTTCTTAGTTCTAGTTAACCAGGATTTTTCTTCCTAGGCCAAGAGGCAAGGGAAAACTCTCTCTATATAATTAATTTTTTATATGTGAATGCAAAAAATAATGGGTTCTAGATAATTTATCCAAATCATGGTTTGTTCACAGGACTCCATAACATTACCTAATATCAACCCATTATTTTGATTAAAAAAAATCTAATGTGTCCTTTTGCTTCAGGCTTTTCTCCTCCAACAGCTTCACATCTTTTGATTTCTTAGCATCTTCCAAGGAAGCATCTTTATAATGTATTAATACCTCTGCAAGACAATTCTCTATAATCATTATTCTTCTAGTGACTAGGAAATAATGAATGTGAAGCCATTTATTTATAGTTTACCAGTTCGAACATCCCAGTTTTGTACTTCTAGTAAGCTTTAATTTTAACTGTTTTCCCTTGACTTGGTCTTCTCAGTCTGTTTTTTAATAAATGTAAACACATGTACAGACACACTCATATATATTAAGTGGATCTATAAAAAGCATTCTTTCTTAATAGTTTGAGCAAAGAATCTTGAACAAATTAATCACTGGACTATGCTAAAATGAAGTCTTTCTGCCCCTCCCTTTTCCACAAGCAAGGAAACTTTTAGTTCTTGTTCAGGACTTTTTCTTGAAGGTCTTTTAAAAACTGTTGTCTTCCAACTGCTAGCTCCTTTAAATGAACATAAGAACATACCTGTGAATTCATAATAATGTGAGGCAAAAGCAGTTTGAAGGAATCAACTAGCACTTATTGTTTGGGTACACCATCCTGATACAAGTTTTCTTGTATCTGGTAAATACAGTAGAACTTTTGCCTGCAGTTTCTATGCAAGCAAAGTCATTGAACAAGGTGTTCGTGAGTTCTTTATCTCCAGAACTTCCTTTTTCAATTCTTAACTCAATGTTGAGGTCTTAGAAACACATTTTTATTAAATTACCGACTGTAAAGATAAATGAGCCTTGTAAACATCCCCTCTTATTATACGGAAAGATGACTGTTTTAGAAAAGTTGATGTGGGCTAATTATGTAGGATTACTGAAATCTTGATTACATATGCAGAAATCTGTCAGATTCTCAAACACGCTAGTGCAGCTAGTGCCAACCATAAAAATAATTTGTTCAGAATTGGTGTGTATATGTATATAAATGTGCACTGGGGGCTACGTGTTCAAAAACAGCTTCTAATTTAAAAAAAAACAACATTCAAAAACAGTTGAATGTGAGCAAGAATTAGGGCTGGAATTTTGTGTGGGATGTAAGACATTAACAGACATTTGATTTTATTGAGGATAGGGGATATAAAGATTTAAGCTTCATGGAAAAATCTAGTTTGTAAATCTACATACCGTATATATAAAGCAAATAGGCTCTTAAATGTACTTGTTTGCACTTGCAATTACATGCTTATTGCTGGGAATGGTAATCTACTAGTGTTCTTTACCTTTTCTGTGCGGTGGGCACATTTCTGGCCCCTTATGTCCATCCCAGCCCTTAAAGGTTCAAGAGTGGCTTAATGGGCCAAAGGACCGGTGGGAGACAAATACCATACCATGTATTATGCCGTTATAGAAACTGAGGTGGGCCAGATTCAGATGGAAAACTTCCAGTTGAACCAGTCTGAGGTATTGTATCGAACACAATGGAAATGCCTTTCTGCTCTTTGAAGATACAGTTGATAGAACATTTCCCTACTGCACAAAAACTGTGGACATAAAAACTGTGGACAAAATAACTGTGGACAGAAATTTCACAGTAGGATGACCTAGCTAGAGACTGACACTGTACAGCGAAGAGGCCATTTATACAACTGGGAAAATTAAGGTATCTATCCATTAGCTGTTGTGAAAGTTTGACCTAGGAGAATGAAGACTGTCTACAGGGAGAACAAGAATTACAGTCGATAGAGAACTGTTTATATAGTGGGGCAAAAGATACGGGAGGTGGCTTTGTGTAGGAGATAGTTAGACTGAGATAGGTAAGGAAGGATCTGTACAACGGGGTGATACCTGTGGATGTGTAAAGAATAGATTTCCTGCAGAACGGAGATCCTGTTACAACAGTGATAGAGTGTTCTTGTGTATCTGCATGGAAATGGCTAAAGTGACAATGAAAGAGAAGGGAATGAATATCCACTGCAGGAGAACACCAGTTAGACAGGCAGCAAGAGCTAACCAAAAGCAGTTGAGCGCAGCTGTAAAATCTTATAGCAGATCTGGCTGGAGATGTTGCATCCCCTCAAAACTAGGGAGGAATTTATACAGGTACTATTGAGAGATTATGTTATGATATTTTCATCAATGCACAACATGAAGGACAGATCCTGGGGTCCTGTCACCACCTCGTATTGGGCATTGACAAATGAGGCTTTGAGATAAATGCATTCAAGGGGGCTTCAGGTTGCACAGAATATAAGGCAATTTTAAAGCCGTTAATGTCAGAACTCTGGTTTCTCCTATACCCTCCTAGTAAAAACATGTGTGTGGAAAGGAGTTCCAGAAAATGATGACCCAGAAACTTGAAAGAACTTTTTGTCTGGCTGAATTTTTTTGGTAGGCATACCAATGTGTTTAGAGTATTTCTAAACACCACGTGAGTTATGCCATCAAAGAAATAATACAAACTGGAAATGTGTGTTAAACATGGGGAAAAAGGCTGATGGAAATAGCTTCACATTCCTTTTTATTTATTAATGCCACAGACGAACTGGTTTTCTCATGAGAAAGGTGCTCATGAATTTTCATTCAAAATAATAAATTGATGTCCACATTTTAAGAAATATGTTTAGGGTTCAAGGGATTAGACATGCAACTCTGCATATCTGATTCCCTGTTTACCAAGATAAAATATACTTCTTAATGTCGTTTCAGTTATTATGTAGCTAATGGTTTTAGCTTATTAACCAACAAACCTACATTAAGGAAGTTGTAGTTACCTGCCCTTTAAGTAATACTATAGCATTCTTGTTGGCAACATTTGGGTACATTTAATGGAGGAATATTTTTTTGCAATGAACAGATGACCTAATTTATTCTTTTTTTCAGCGATTGGTGGATTTGAATAATCAACCAAAATTAGATCTTTTCTATAGTTCTTGCGTTTGTAACATACATCAGTATTTCAGAAGTTATGCTTTCCCTGATTCTGCCTGTGGCAATATGAAATAAAGATCTGCTAAGCCCAGAAAAAGTAGAATCTGAATGAAAAAGAAATATTCAATATACCACAGAAATACTGACAGGTATATTTTAATCTTAACCTGTCACTGATCCTACAATTGCTAGATTTTCTGAATATATTTTTAGCAGCTTAGAAACTTACACACTCTTCCAAATAGTAATTTAATAGTAATCAATAGGTCCATCCATTTAGATATGAGGCATTAATTTTAAAAACAACATTTATTTAAAAAAAAAAATCGGAATTATTTTAGAAATATTAAAAATATTGCAATCAAATTAAAAACAAACAAACAAAAAACAACACCAAAACCATAGATGATCTTTTGTAGGCTGTCTTCACTATCTTCAGACTCAGGCAAATAACTGCCATAGACAGTTTGCTTAAAAATGGTCCAAGATGAATTTATTTTACAGAAAAAATAAAAGAGAGAACAGGGACAATATGTAAACTATAGGGGTAAAAAAATCCTCATTACATCTTGCATCCCTTCCTGGGCTTTTTCCAGTGAATCCTGTTTCTCTCACTCTTCATTTTGGGTTGAGTTCTTGTTTAGAACTTTAGCTAGAAATCAAAACGTTCAGCTGTTTCCTGATGTTTATCTGGTATAAAGGTCAGGGAAAATTGCTTTTGTGTGTCTTTAAAGGATTGATTAATTCTATTACACCCATAAACAAACAAAATTGGACTGTAACTAAGATGTGGTTCTATAGACGCAAAGCAGGTGTTTGAATCCAGCACATGTTCTGCCCTTTATAGTAAAATCACAATCCACCTCTTGGTGCAGTTTCTGAAGGCATCGCATCCCATTCCGGCAGCAGCTGTTCCTGAACATTGGATGTAGGCTTTGATTCCCATGATCTTCATATCTTGATTTAGATTTTTCACTGGTACAAACTGGCCAAGTCCAACTGAGACTATACCAATTTATATGAGATGAAATCTAGTCTCTTATATCATAAAACATATGTTTTAATATTGCCTGTCAGTTTTATCACTTGGGATAATACTTGGATAAGACGGAACGGAAAAAAAAAGGAGCAGTAGGTACTGAAGATACAGAATGATTATACAGTTTTCTGAGGAAGGGATAAAGACTCAGTATCACTGCAAATAAAACATTCAAAATGGAGTTTAGTTTTATTTCAGTTTCAAAATGATACCTGCATCAAATACCTTCTGAAACAGGAGAAAAGCCCTGAACTCCATATAAAACTGTTGTATTTCAACAATAGTAACTTGCCCTTTTATGTTTGCTCTTCTTTATAATAACATCATTGCTTACCTTCTCAGGGCAGCAGGCAATTTGAAGTAAGTGCACCTCATAAATTATTAAGGAAAAGTATACTAAGTACAGTGGATTAAACCAGAGAGTTACTTCAGAAGCAGGAATCAACACTTGTGCATAATACAAGACTTCCTTTGTTGTTAACTCATTGCAAATAATACCACAGAGGCAAATTCTTTCTTCTCTTTTGCTTTCTTGCAGAAAGACAGTTCTACTTGTCCCAACTTTATCTATAAGCTTTCAAAATTACCATGCATATGGTACTCTAGTTAATAGCAACTGAAACTGCGATAGTATTAATAACAATAAAAACATCTTTAGTTTATTGTTTCTCTGTTGAAATACTGCTAATTTTTTTAATGAGGTTGCTAAAAAGGTTGTTAATAATTGGAGAAATTGGCTTTAGTGGAACATGCACTATTGTTTGATCAATATGGGGTTTTTTTGATACTACTGACAAGGCTTTTGTTAGTTCCAATTTTGCAAGTTTGAAGATCCCTTTTCAAGGGGTATCTTTTTGACGAATGTGCAGTTTTTCAGCATGTACCTTCTGTCTTGTATCACAGTGTTTTAGAAGAATCTATGCTTTACTTATTCACTAGGCTTTCAATAGAGAATCACATTAATCCTTTTAAGCTCCTTATTCTAATGATTTATTTTGTTGAAAACCGTAGTGATCCTCCTTTGAATTTTAATGATTGCTGGCTATTCAAGGATTCATTGTTTTGACTTCCTGTCCTTACCTTTGTTTCTTACATGTCTGTAGGGAACACCTGTCTAATACTGTATCTGGCCTTAGTTCTCACTGGCTTACCATATTCACTCAAGCCTATCTTAAGGCGTTAAGTTGAAATGCTAGCTACTCATCCATGAAAATAAATGTAGGATATTTACAGAGACAGGCAGATAGACAGCAGAGGGATGGCTGAATGGATTGAGTCATTTTTCGATTAAAATAATATTTTTATATGAATTATATCAAGATCATTGTTGCAAAGTTGGCTCCATATACAACTGGCACTTTAAAAATCATTAAACACCACCACCTATGGGGGATTTCTATTTCAAAATTTTTGAAGCAAATGCAGTATGCCAACAGTTGTCAGGATTTGGCATCAGCTGCTGAATTTAGGTCATGGCACTGGCTTAAATTGGATATCAGTTTTCATTTTCATCCACTCTGTATAAATACAGAATGTCTCTTTAGAAATATAGCTAGGAACATCATGAGTTTTCAAGAATATATTATTCTAATACAAGATTTTAACAACTACACAGTATTTATGCATAATACATTTTGTTCCTTATCTACAGCCTTTTGGACTTTGATTCAGAATACCAGGAGCTCTGGGATTGGCTGATTGACATGGAATCCATCGTGATGGACAGCCATGACCTGATGATGTCAGAGGAGCAGCAGCAGCATCTTTACAAGGTTAGCGCTACCGTTACTGCCTTTACCTAGCTATAGAAGATCTGATTAGCTTGACAAGTCTTTCTCTCACAGGATATCGCTGCGTTCATTGTATGTATCATGGTGTCTATTAGAATTCCCTTCCCTGTCCCCAACCTCATTTCCATCCCCTGTGCGCTGACAGGCTGCTCCGACATCATAATTGCAAGAAAGTTCCCTTTATCACATTCTATTTGGTGTAATTCTATAGAAGGACAAAGATTTGTCTTCAAGATGAATAGAAATAAATGAAACTGCATTAATAAATAGACTGAAACAAAATGAAGGAAAAAAATGAAATGGTAGCATTTAACAAAATGTGTTTTGATTGGAGCTTTCAGCTGGATTTTTATCCACCTTTCAGACCTCTACTGAGAAGAAAGAAATTTGCCTTGATTTTGGTTTGCTGCTTCCAGAATACGGGACTCTTCCAATTTAATTTTTATTAGTTATACATAAATCAGACATTGTCATGTTAAGTCATCACACTTGCTTGTGATTTCAGCAAAACTATTTTAAACTTGCATATTGATTATAGGGTCTTCATCTAACATACATGTACATATATACACACATATACATACATATATATACACACACATGGTTTCTCTTATTTGTCATAGCAGCCGTAGCCCAGAAGCTTTATCACTTCTTTTAGATAGACAGTACTTTTAAGAAGTTCCTGAAAATGTGTGATTTGATCCAAAAATTGATTCAGGCTTCACTGTGTGTCTGAGAAGAGGTAGTCTACAGGTCTGAGGGGTGGTGGGGAAAAGAAAGGAGAGGCTTTCGACAGAAATATCAAGCTGCAGTAAATCTTCCTCATTTAGGCAATTTTTATTGGAGTAATTCTGACAGTTGTCATCCTTGAATTGCTTTGAGCATATGGCATATTTCAAAGAGCAGATTGTGAATCATAAAAAATAAAATTAATAACTAACCACAGAATCAGCAACAGTATAATGACAAGAAACAACTACCCTCTAGCTTTTTTTTATTTCTTATCGAATAAATGGTACATTCAAGGTCAAATAGAAGTTGTTTTCTTTCTTCTATGATTGCATGATTTGATAATTTCTTAAATACAATTTGTTTGCTTTGGCATCCTAATTTCTGATGGTTACCTTGCATTTTGTTCTTTCTAATTTTGTTTTTTTTTATTTAAAATACTCAGTGAGAAAGGGTTGTCACACGAGTTAAAATGTGTTTATAAATGGAAATATGGTTCGAGTCCAAACTATTTCAGGCTGCAAGTGAGTTTAATTCAGTGGCCTCCATTTCTTGCTTTAACAATCATTTCTTGTTTTTGCTAATGTCTTTTTCCTAACTTCTAGATGTTGAAACAGTCTTAGTCATACATTAACAGTTCTGGCCCTGGCTAGGCTCAGAAGTAAACAATGTCAGAAATGGGCAAAAAGTTTCTTGTGAATCTAAAATAAGGTGTTTTGGTAGTGCCTGTCCATATAAGACCAGCTTGTACCATGCCTAATCTAACCACTAGTTATAGTCCTGTACTGAAAAAATCAATAAACATAAATTTTAAGAAAATGATCCATCCATCAATATGAAAAGGAACAAAGTTTAAGCAGCCAGCCTGACGATTTAAGGTGCTATTTAGGATATTTCCCTTTCCGATATCCAAATGTAACCATTAAGAATAATTATAGATAGTAAGGCTGATATAATGGTGCATGGTGAGAAGAATAATAGAGGGCAGTAATTTAAGAATTAGTTTGCAGTACAATATGGTGGCAAAACGAGGAATATTGTTATGTTCAAAATGGGAAGTAATAGTCTCTTAATAGTGTGAAATTCTGTATTTTGATAGGCATGATACTTCCAAAAGCAGGAAGTTTGTGCCAGAGAGAGTAGCTGAGTCTGTGCGGCACAGCCAGACCAGCACTGCTTCCAAAGCACAAGCAGCTTATTTGCTCCGCAGTTTCCACAGGGAGGGCATCTTCTAATTAATAGAGCCCCCATCGCAGAAGTACCTGTCTGGGCACTGCAAAACTACTTGAAGAAGGGCATGAACAGCCTGCCTGCCCTCCTGCCGTCTATATTCCCTCCGTATACCTTTCTACTGAAAGCAGCAAGCAAATTGTTAAGGACTGAAGGACTTAACTAGGAACGTGGAGTTTGGTGGAGAGGTAACTAAGGAGTGTCCATAAAGCAGGAGTGTTTGTAGGCAATGTAAAAAGATTGAGCGCATAGCTTTAAGAGCTATTAGCCTTTCAAAAAAACCTGACCAACTGCCTCCCGAAGTGCTGAAAACCCCATAATTTCAGACATTTAGCAGCAGACAAAAGAAAACATTAGCAGAGGTAATTGAGGGAACAATTCTGCACTAGCAAAGGAGCGATCAGATAAATCACTAGGTCTTTATCATCCTTAATTCCAGAGATTCGCCTAACAATGAATCATGCCCTCAAAACCGGTATTAATAGTTTTATAAAACTAGCCTAGGAAACCTCTCTCCTAATCAACAGTGACACCCATTTTGTTTGGAGGCTCTCACACGGAGCCGTGGCTGGTCTGGCTCTCGCAGGTGAGGTGCAGGAACCCTCCCTGCCTGCGCTTCGCGGGGACCGCAGCCCTTCACGTCTGCAGGATAAAAGAAATCTGGAAAGAGAAGTTCAGGCAGCTCTTATTATCAGAATTCCTCAACGACGTGGGGCGTTAGGAAAACACAGGTCTTGCCTCAGTCGCTCTTTGTGAGCTACAGCTTCAAACGCGTACCTGCTAATTGCACTCTCTGCATTTTGGTGGATTCTCCTAAACCCACAGATCCCTCTTCTCAGTTATTGACCTGACCAGTAATTGCCCCTGTGAGCCAGCTCAGCAAACCGCCTCTGCCAGGGAACCTGCTCGGGTATCGCTGTTACCAACAGTAATCGTTGCCCCGAAGGAGTCTGTGAACGGGAAGGAGCGATGATAAACCAGGTACATCGGAAGATAAAAGCGCACATTAAAGCAGCGCAACGTAGTAGATAAATGCTGAATCTGCGTAAGGGAAAACAAAATGTATTTTCATGGTTAGACTATTTCCCCAGTACTCTGTTTTCAGATTTAATATAGATTTAAGTCAACTCTCAGCTTAATTTTGTTTTGTAATATTACAGGAGCTTCATAGTTGTTGTTTGTTGTGGTTTTTTTTTTATTAGGATCCTTATTATCTCACTTTAAGTAGGTTTTATTTTGCCCTTAATATTATAGGAGCAGCACAGTTTTTGTTTTGTGGTTTGTTTTTTTTTTAAAAAATAAATAACTCTGAATATGTATGTATGACTTCCTCTAGACTTCCTAGGTTTTAGTGCAAAGATCTAAAAAAAAAAAAAAAAGAAAAAGAAAACTATTCTTCCTCACTATGCTTCCCCATAGCCCTAAATGAGCTCAGCTTTACAGTCTTAAACTGCCTAATGATTTTTGGAAATCAACTAGTGTTTGATGAAATGACAGTCCTGGAATGGATTGCTGACAGTTTATTTGTCCTCTAATGCTTTATCTATTAACTAAGAAAAAATTAAAAGGAGCATTTCCGTGGTTTTGGACTCTGGCTTCTTTGTACTGCTTTGTAATAGCTCAGTTTAATGCCAAATGTATCATGTTTATTTCATTTTAATCTACTGCATGCGAGCCTGATCTCATAAGCTCTAAGTACACAGAACTTGCATTGACTTCAGCTGTATTCATATGCCGTTACTGGAGGATGAAACCCAGAGAATTTAAACTCTGCTAATTAGCCCTTTAGTGGGAACTGGAGTCATTCTGTACCTTGAATGTTCAAAACTGAAGGAAATCGGTATTTACTGGAACTGTGGAGATTTGACATGAGTGTATACTAGGCAGAAAAGTTAATGATAATTCTTTCGATTTTCCTCAGAAGATTAATTGTAAAACTTAATTGTGTTAGATTAAAACCCCATTTAAATAAGTACAGTATGATTGTTAAAATTGTTAGTATGTTCAGAATAATATTAACTAAACATTTTTAAATATCAAATAAAGGAAACTATGTTTTTCTATCTGATTACAAGTAACGTATCGTGGTTTTAATACAAACTGCGCCAGCTATAAGTCTGGCACTGGTAAGTCTTCAGCAACGAGGGTCACGACAGATGGAAAAAGACCCTTACGCAGCAGCGCAAAGCTTTGGAAAACCCTGAGCGGAGGCGGCTGTTGAACAGGTTAACCGCTCAACTTTCCTCCGAGGGAAGCGGCTCCCTGTGTTAACTAACATGAAAACGCGCATCGAAAGCTGAGGATACCTTCCAAAAAGAGCCGAGGGGGGAAAAGTCTCCCAGCGGTTTCTTTTTCCCAGCTGGAAGCCGTCCCTGCTGGGAGGGCGCGGGTCCGTTCCTCCTCTGGGTGCGCTGCTGCTCCACCGCGCCGCGCCCGCCGGCGCAGCCCGCCGCGGCCCGCAGCGCCTCACACCCGCGCGGCTGAAAGTTTCCCTCATTTGCATCACTTCTAGACAGCCCTGTCGTACTCTTTGCTGACAGGAAATCACTGTCTTTGTCACCTTTTTTCAGTGATCTCCTTTTGGCAGAGATTGGCCATGTGACCAGGATTAATCACAACAACGGTTCTGGCTCAGAACTCAATGACATGTTTTCCTCAGCGCTTCAATAATGGTGTAGAGGAGTCAGTAGGAAATGACTACATTAATTTCAGAGTGAAAAGATAATTAACACTTAAGGACTAGTGCTATAACCTATGGAGCTTTATTCAAATTAAAACTAATTTATTGCAAACTTGTGAAAAAGAAAAAAAAAAAAGCAACAAAAAAGCCCAACCCCGTCCTTTAATGCAACTGTTAAAATAATCTTGCAAGAGTCCCCAAGTTTAAAAAGAAGCACAAGTGATATTTAACGTGGTCGTATAAATACATAAAAACTTAAACATTTGAAACTGGAGGCTGGAGTATGTAAAGTGCTTACTTAGATGATATGAATAGGAAACTGGCAAACAAAAGCAGCAGTGTG